GTATGACATGTATTTTATTTAATAATTTATCTTTTAATTACAAAATTAATTCACTCATTGAATACATGATTTAGTAATTATAGATTTCAATATAATTGACAATAGATTTAATTTACTGTCGGACTCTCTTTTCTTATCAAACTTTACATATAATTTAATGCATATCTCAACTGAATTTAAACCACAAATAAAGGGAGCGATACAAGAGTTAGGCTTTAAAATTCCTACTGAACTGAGTTTGCAACAGAATTACAGTCATTTACAGCACATCTGATGAGTAATTCTCGTAGGGATGGGTATGACGTGACTTCTTGTGTGTGTGTCAACAGAATTGAGACAATTTTCGGTACAATTATCAATACTCCACCCAAACTCTGGGTCATTGTTTGAGCCAATTATGATTCGTTTAAACTAATAATATAGATATTCTGTTAATTATTATACAAATACTTGACATAAAGTATTATTAAATATTCAATTGAAAGCATAACAATTCTTATATATGTGTATAAAAGAGCGATAATCTACTCTTTGGTATTAATTTAATAATAATTGAAATAAATTAATGGCCAGAAGTATCGGTGTGTGGATGGGATGGTAGGAGTGGGTGTGACTCTGTCTGTTCGGCTCGCGATCTATTAATACTATTGGACGCAAACTGGTGTAAGAATAATGAGCTCAAAGACATGGCAGCCGCCCGTTCCTCGCGTTCTGTCACACTGTTTGAGATGGCGTTCAACAGACGCTCCCTTTCGTTACGATAGGCATTGGTTTCGATGTCGTGCTCTTTATTGCTAGAACTGGAGTCAGAGGGCGGCGGAGTATTGCCGTCCGTCACTGAACTCAATCGGAGACTAGAGTTGAGACCACTTCTGCCCATCATTTGACTTTCATTGGGAGCGCAATTCGATTTGATATTATCGATAAACTTCTTCTGCGAGTCGTTGTTTGGACTCCAATTAGGATTCGTTAGTTTGAAGTGAATTAGGCTTAACTCTAATTTGCCATTTTCTGTGGCTCTGGTAGAGAGCGGCGGTATATCCGTCACGATGTCATCCACTTTAATGCCCTTTTGATCGTTTGCTGAAAGACTGGACACATTAGGTTTCCAGAGAGGATTGCCATTCTCTCTGATGTTCATCATAGCAAAAGTGCAAACATCACCCGTTCCTGTGATCTCAACCGTATAGTTATGGAAGAAATCGATAATTTCAAGCGCTCGGGGCCTCAGGTGTCGGAATAGGATATAAGGCGTCGCCAAAGGACTAATCAATTCTTCTAAAATGCCGACGATTTTATACTGGAAAACATTAGACATTGCATTCCGCGCTTGACTCGTATAGGGAGCGTATCCGTGAGGCTTGTAGTGGATGTGCTCCAAAACTTTGGCGTTTAGTTCTGCGTGAGTATAACGTGAGGGGATTTCAGATGATATGAATGCCCGAGACATGGCTATGAGAGCGCCCAATAGTGTGACAATAGTGATCACGTGCTCGACGGTCATCACGTCCTCGTCATAAACGGTTAGAATAATGAGAACCGAAACAATGGTTCCGGCGATGAATGAAACAAATTTGGCCAACACTTCAAGTATGGGTGACGTGAATGAGTTCATGTATTTTGTGCCCGCTTTGTAGCCGCTGTTGAGTCGTTCGTCTAACTGATGGTCTAATTCATTGAAATGTCTGCAAAACCATTTCGCATACAAAGACCAACCCCTGGAACCCAATGCCATGGATGGGTCGCGTTTAACCGCTTCAGCATAAGTATAGATAATGTATAACAACTGCCAAAAGGCAACCACCGGACAGAAGAGTAAGTTAACGAAAGCATATTTGAGACAATCTCTTTCAAACTGTTGGGCGCACAACAACCGATTGCTGGCGCTCTTCACATCGCTATTCAACTTATAATTGTTCTCAAATACAGAGGTGTTGAATAACAAGTGCTTGAAATTCCATTGCAATCCTTTACTCAAATATATGAGTTCTCCAATGAAGGGCACCTTATAGTGAATCGGAAGTAAGCCTTTGTTGACCAAAGCTATCATATAGTTGTGGTGACGGAGGAGACGATTATAGATGACTAACTCATTGAGTTGTCCGTCTTGTAGGAGACAGACGTGTTGTGCTTGAATTAGTCGGCTTTGGATGTCCTGCCACGTGAAGAGCGTTGAGTCGCTTACATGAAGGGCTTCGCTGTAAAACGATTTGATGGCGTGATTGATAAATGCCGATCGTATAGCGCGGAACAGCTTAAAGAACCAAAACAATAGGGCCATTATTATGAGACATACTTCTGTCAGACTGAACGTCATTAAATGGTAAGGTATGAGCACATCACTGATGGTCACTTTACTGGTGTTGCTGCCACCGTCAGGCAGTTTGTTCTTAAACAGTATATCGTAATCAATGCAATGGTATAAAAATATTGTGAATATTATAATGAATAGTATTTGAATGAGTTCTAAGATATTGCTGATAACAATACACGCGAAGCCAGACTTTTGATGGTATTTATACACTTTGGCGAAGAAGTCGTCCAAATCATGAATGTATCGCTGCCACGATCGCAACCCATGGCGGCCATCGTTGGGCAGCATATGTATCATAACGTGGTTGGCGTCGTCGCCGATCTCCGCAAAACTCTGATACGAGGCGTTGGTCATCATCTCCTCTACACAGACACCCAATCACTGGTCAAACAACTGATCCCACTCTTAGACCACGAACTAAAAGCAATGCAATACTATTAATGTCTGGTGTTTTTATTTTAACAATTATTAATTAAATGTTTAATTAAAATATAAAATCAATTATTTTCAACATTTATTTAAAGCCAAAACCTATTGAAACAAAGCAATGGATTTTACAAAATTGAAAAGTCATGCAAATAATAACCAATAATTGATATAAAAAAGTAAATTAAAAATGAATTAATAAAAACAAAAAACAAAGACTCGTATCGATTATCACATGAATTAAGTGTCGTTTGCATTACATCTGAGGGAACAAGTGATTGACTTTTGATACTAATAAGTGATTAACTCTTCACTATATATTCAGTTCAAGAAAACCATCGCTTTTGTCATAACATAAGTGTGTGATTAAGTGTTCGCCTATTTTATAGTACATTACGTTATAATCATTACTGTTATAGAAATAATAATCATGTAATCAAAGCCTAACATAATTATTAATACAACCATATATTCATTAAACATATATTTCACTATTTCTATGAACTAAAGGCTTAAATACAATATAAATGTTGTTATCATGTAATAAATAATTACCAAAAAATAAACATTAAATTACAATAAAAACAAAAACAATACCAAAAAAATACTCACTTTTGTTGTGTTTGTATTGATTTATCATTAATTGATTGCAAACGCGATAACAGATTATACAAAGACTTTCGTTTCACTTCATTGTAAACATTGAATAAATGTTTGATTTAATTATAAATTCAATTCAATTTACGATTCAAACAATGAATACAAACAAAATGTTTGGGTTTTTGTATTCAATAATTGGATGCAATGTTTGGGTCAAACGTACCAAACATTAGACATCAGCTGACAATACAGTCAATACAGTCTATACATTGTATTCAATACATTGAGTCTCAAACACAACAACACGTTATTCATTGTCTTCACCCCTAATACGCATTCACAGCACACATACAGTCTATTCCCGATATCGCTTACCATTTGCTATATTCTACAGTCAAATCAAATATTAATTAATTGTTTAATAATTTTAATCAAAGTTTAAATTAAACATTAATTAAATAATATCAACAAATTTAAGCGTAAACTAAATGTTGATAACATATAGCGATTGAATAGTGATATAAATGTATAGAAAAAGTGGTATTAATTGTAGAATCGATGAAAAGAAAGGCAAACAGTATTTATGAAGAAGTGATGAGTTATTGAGTGGAAGTGTTTGACAAGTGTTGAGAAGTGAAGACAATTGTCTTAATATGGATAGAGAGGAGAAGGCGTTGGAAGAGACGGTGGATTCGTTGACACATAAAGTGGCAGAACTGAAGACATCGTTGCAGACAATGATAATGCGTTTGGAGAGCGAATGGGAGAGCATTTCGTGGACGCAACTGATCGACAATTATGTGGTCTTTTCCGCACAAATTCAGAATCTGATGAAAATCGTGAAGAAAGACAAAACACCCGCTCTTAGGAATCGACTCCTATTCCCACTCCTCTTGAGTCCAGACATTGACGAAGAGCTGATGAAATTGACTGAAGGAAGGGTTCAGTCATTCAATCACGATATGGTTCCCGACTATTTGCGGACTAAACCGGAGCCCGAGATCGAGGCCAAGGAGAACGTGATCGTCGGGAAGGCCTGTAATCTTAGCGCCGATCAAAGCCAGAAACAGATGACTTCCGCCAATAAGATCGTCAATAATATGACTGATTTAGTGAAGAATATGCGCGACGAATGGGAGACAGAGACCAATCGCCAGAATCAGACCCAAACATCACTCATGAACGACACGACACTGTCGACTCCCGTAATGTAGTGACGGCTGTGTCCGCAAAGTTACGCCTTTTTAAATTCAATGATCCGCCGAACGAACGAATCACTGCTAATAATAATATGGGAAATACAGGTGTTTCTCGTCATTTTATTATTTCATTTTAATCACAATTCATCATTAAGTTTATATCTTATAACGTTATATAAAGTTAGAGATCATATGGAACTTTACCCTTTCCAACACCTGTACTCAATATGAAATAACACAGCAATACATGATAATGAATGAGAATTTAATTTGAATTAATTCAAAATTAGAATTATATAAATACTGTAACAGTTATTATGTAGGGAATAATAATGGGTTGAATGTAAATTTAAATTGTACAAGTTAATACTTTTGTAAATGTTGAAGATGAAAAATCTCAAATTTGAGCACAGCTTCCATAGAAAACATATGAAGGCTTCAATCAAACACTTGAGGAGTCGACCGTTTTATTTATTATGATTTATTTAATGATTAATTATTAGTTAATTAATTAAATTTGTACTAAAAGTTTCCGACAGAGTGTATCAAATGGCATCTCAAGAAGGCTTAACCGTTTCGTTATATCAATACATGAGACCATTGCGACCAAACAGAAGAGGTTTGCATTTTAATAAAGTATACCATTTAATCGATTAATTGATTCGTTGTTTTTTAGAGAAGAAACGGTTGTTAGACAGCCGTACGGTTGCCTGGAATAAGAGGGGTTACATTGAATTTAATATAATCAATGCAATTAATTATTGGCAAAACAATCCGATTCGTAATTTTGGTTTATTTGTTGAGATTGAAAACCCTTATGGCATGAGATATAATCCAAGGAATTATTTAACCGAGATGAATTGTTCAGGTATTTAAACTCATTTATACCTTAGACATGCCTTTTCCGAGTTTAATACAAGTCCACAATTGCAGTAAATGACACACCAATGCCTAATTTGGCACAAATCTACCCAGAAATGCAAAATGAGAGCTCACTTCTCAATAGTGATAGTTTTCCTACTCTTGACTTATTGACAGTAGAAATGGTTAGACAAATATCTGTCACCAATACATCGGATGAATCAGTTCGCCATAAGAGACTGGCCATTAGGTCCACACATAAGCATTGGTGTCGAACCACTAAAACTGTAGTTTCAATGAAAGACCTAAACCTGGAAAACACTATATTATATCCGACTTCTATTGAAACAGTTGTCTGCAAAGGCTTTTGTCGCACTCATCGGGTAATTCTTTTTGATTCATTTATTATATAATTTATTGCATTTTAATTAAGATAAATTTGTAATTAGTTATTGATATAAACACTTTTTATCTATAGTATTGATTCTATACCAAAGTATATCAGAATCAAACAATACGAATAAATACCACTGCAATCAGTTGCCAATCACATACATGGAGTTTCATTGTTTAAGAAATATAAGTTAAACATATTCTCGTTCTTCTCTAATTAAAAATTTCCCATAAAATGGTAAATACTGTATAAGAATAGTAGGGAGTGCTGAGTGATGGACCCCTTTGGCGAATACAAACCATAACTCTCTCTCTCTCTCTCTACTAATTTCAAACATTAATTCTAAGAATTGAAGAATTTTTATCGTAAATTTACTCATAGATTAGTCCACAAAAAATAAAATTGGAAAAATTTACATAATTTTGTTTTAAATTCTACGAACAATCTGTAATCAAATAATTATTTCTGGACCTAATATGTAGTGAGGTTCATATCATTTGAATATTTTTCTTTTTTCATCCATAAAATCTATATTAAAGGCAAATACAGGTCATGTTTAAGACATAATTGATATTTTAAACTAAAATTCTTAGAAATATAATTCTTATTTTCAATTTGCTTATTAAGCCTTATTTTTAAGTTGGTTTTATTACACCATTTACTAGATATTTAAAATTAAATCAACTTTTTATGAACACATAGAGAAAACAATACGACTGCAGACCGAGTGATTATAAAGACATCAAATTTGTATTTCTGGACAACAACTCCAATCCCAAGATTAAGAATGTAAAAAAGTTTATTCCTCAAAGTTGTCAATGCGTTACAACAAACCAATTCTGATTCTTGTAGTTTCCATCATGAGTATAATTATATGCATAAATATACCACTCATTATCTATTGATCATTGTTTAGTTGAATAGACACTAGACTTCTTGGACGAACATTAAAGATAACATTTTGTAATTGCATAACCAATGGTTCAATTCACACATCATATGATACACAAATTAAATGTTAGATTTGATACTCATTTATGTTTTTAAGATTCATATATTTTATTGTCTAAATTGTATTTTTCTGATTAATGTATAAATGTTTCCATATATTCAGTACAGTATTGATGCAGTATTTCAATCAAATAATTAATAAATAATACGGCAATAAATGTAATTTTGATTATTTTATTATAATTATTCAATGATAAGACAATGAAAATAGAAATGAATGCAAACAATATTATCGTTGGTAAGGGTGTATATTAGCGGCGGCTTTAATATTGGTTTTGATAGTGGCCGGGGCTTTACCGGTGGGCCGACCGGATCCCGACGTCTGTGCGGCCGACGGCGCCACCGGAGGCGCCGATCCCTTCATCGACGGCGCCATCGCTTTGAGTCCTTTGCCGAAAGTGATGGCAGCGATGAGTGCCGTCGTGTCGTTCATGAGTGATGTTTGGGTCTGATTCTGGCGATTGGTCTCTGTCTCCCATTCGTCGCGCATATTCTTCACTAAATCAGTCATATTATTGACGATCTTATTGGCGGAAGTCATCTGTTTCTGGCTTTGATCGGCGCTAAGATTACAGGCCTTCCCGACGATCACGTTTTCCTTGGCCTCGATCTCGGGCTCCGGTTTAGTCCGCAAATAGTCGGGAACCATATCGTGATTGAATGACTGAACCCTTCCTTCAGTCAATTTCATCAGCTCTTCGTCAATGTCTGGACTCAAGAGGAGTGGGAATAGGAGTCGATTCCTAAGAGCGGGTGTTTTGTCTTTCTTCACGATTTTCATCAGATTCTGTATTTGTGCGGAAAAGACCACATAATTGTCGATCAATTGCGTCCACGAAATGCTCTCCCATTCGCTCTCCAAACGCATTATCATTGTCTGCAACGATGTCTTCAGTTCTGCCACTTTATGTGTCAACGAATCCACCGTCTCTTCCAACGCCTTCTCCTCTCTATCCATATTAAGACAATTGTCTTCACTTCTCAACACTTGTCAAACACTTCCACTCATTAACTATGCATTCAATACATGTCTCACACAATCACACAATCACTCCATAACTCATCACTTCTTCACAAATACTGTTTGCCTTTCTTTTCATCGATTCTACAATTAATACCACTTTTTCTATACATTTATATTACTATTCAATGGCTATATGTTATCGACATTTAGTTTACGCTTAAATTTCTTGATATTATTTAATTAATATTTAGTTTAAATTTTGATTAAAATTATTAAACAATTAATTAATATTTGATTTGACTGTAGAATATAGCGAATGGTAAGCGATATCGGGAATAGACTGTATGTGTAGTGAATGCGTATTAGGGGTGAAGACAATGAATAACGTGTTGTTGTGTTTGTTTGTCAATGTATTGAATACAATGTATAGACTGTATTGACTGTATTGTCAGCTGATGTCTAATGTTTGGTACGTTTGACCCAAACATTGCATCCAATTATTGAATACAAAAACCCAAACATTTTGTTTGTATTCATTGTTTGAATCATTAATTGAATTGAATTTACAATTAAATCAAACATTTATTCAATGNAACGATGTCTTCAGTTCTGCCACTTTATGTGTCAACGAATCCACCGTCTCTTCCAACGCCTTCTCCTCTCTATCCATATTAAGACAATTGTCTTCACTTCTCAACACTTGTCAAACACTTCCACTCATTAACTATGCATTCAATACATGTCTCACACAATCACACAATCACTCCATAACTCATCACTTCTTCACAAATACTGTTTGCCTTTCTTTTCATCGATTCTACAATTAATACCACTTTTTCTATACATTTATATTACTATTCAATGGCTATATGTTATCGACATTTAGTTTACGCTTAAATTTCTTGATATTATTTAATTAATATTTAGTTTAAATTTTGATTAAAATTATTAAACAATTAATTAATATTTGATTTGACTGTAGAATATAGCGAATGGTAAGCGATATCGGGAATAGACTGTATGTGTAGTGAATGCGTATTAGGGGTGAAGACAATGAATAACGTGTTGTTGTGTTTGTTTGTCAATGTATTGAATACAATGTATAGACTGTATTGACTGTATTGTCAGCTGATGTCTAATGTTTGGTACGTTTGACCCAAACATTGCATCCAATTATTGAATACAAAAACCCAAACATTTTGTTTGTATTCATTGTTTGAATCATTAATTGAATTGAATTTACAATTAAATCAAACATTTATTCAATGTTTACAATGAAGTGAAACGAAAGTCTTTGTATAATCTGTTATCGCGTTTGCAATCAATTAATGATAAATCAATACAAACACAACAAAAGTGAGTATTTTTTGGTATTATTTTTGTTTTTATTGTAATTTAATGTTTATTTTTTGGTAATTTATTAATTATATGATAACAACATTTATACTGTATTTAAGCCTTTAGTTCATAGAAATAGTGAAATATATGTTTAATGAATATATGGTTGTATTAATAATTATGTTAAGCAATGATTACATGATTATTATTGATATATTTTTATGATTATAACGTAATGTATAATAAAATAGACGAACACTTAATCACACACTTATGTTATGACAAAAGCAATGGTTTTCTTGAACTGAATATATAGTGAAGAGTTAATCACTTATTAGTATCAAAAGTCAATCACTTGTTCCCTCACGAGTCGGATGTAATGCAAACGACACTTAATTCATGTGATAATCCAAACGACTCTTTGTTTTTTGTTTTTATTAATTCATTTTTAATTTACTTTTTTATACCAATTATTGGTTATTATTGAATGACTTTTCAATTTTGTAAAATCCATTGCTTTGTTTCAATAGGTTTTGGCTTTAAATAAAGTGTTGAAAATAATTGATTTTATATTTTAATTAAACATTTAATTAATAATTGTTAAAATAAAAACACCAGACATTAATAGTATTGCATTGCTTTTAGTTCGTGGTCTAAGAGTGGGATCAGTTGTTTG